ACCTGCAGAGTCCTTTTAGAAGGGAGGATTGAGTGCCCTGTGCTCAGCTGGGACCTGGCTTCTCCACCATCATCAGTGGGCTGCTGCTTTGCGAAATAGTGTCTTCACGCCAGGTCTTGACTGGATGTGCTTCCTGGTTTTCACCCACTTTGTGTCTCTCTTTTTGGGCACTTACAATGATCGAATTTGAGTTGTCATTTTGGGTTCTCTGGGGAGTCTATCCAATGGTGACAAATGCCCCTGTCTTTCTCAGGCTTAGTGACCAATCAGGAGTGCCAGGATGACCCCCACAGATGAGAGCCTGGGCCTGTGGAATAGATTGGTGACTGAGCCTTGCTGGGGGTGGGGCAGACCATGTATCTGCCTCAGAGTCTGTCTCTGAGATGCAGCACCACTTGATTCAGCACTGGCAGCCCCAGTCCAGGAGTACTTGCTGAATGCTTCACTTTCGGTGGGGACCCCAGGACAGAAGTGAGCATTAATAAAGCTTGTGGAGGTTTTCAGTTGGATCCCTGCTCTTGGTTGAGTAGAAGAAATAAATCCCATCAGTTTGTTCATCTCAGTGTCATGTAGATAAAATCACTCCTGTAATTCTAAGAGTGATGAAGGTACTCTGACAGACTCTGGGCAGCCTGTTGACAGTAATTTAAACTATGGAAACACAGATGTGGAGGGACTTTATGGAGCCTTGGGCCTGTGATTAGGAAGATAGCCTTTTTTGGTCCCAAGTTGGGAATGATTTTCTCATCTTGTGCGTCCTCTCTTATTTTTGAGTGGGGTGAGTTTGAAAACACCTCTCCAGGTGGTAAAGGTTGGGAAGGGTATGTGGCAGTACCAGGAAGGGAGGAACCTTGTGCTTCTGTTCCTGAGATCATAGGTGTATATTGAGATTGTCCCTTTCTTGGCTGGGACTCTGATTCTTAGATTTGTTGGCAATCGCCGAGGCCTAATTTCCTTTTTGTTTGTTTTTGAGACAGTCTTACTCTGTTGCCCAGGCTGGAGTGCTGTGGTACAATCTCGGCTCACTGCAACCTCCGCCTCCCTGGTTCAAGTGATTCTCCTGCCTCAGCCACTTGAATAGCTGGGACTGCAGGCATGTGCCACCACACCTGGCTAACTTTTGTATTTTTAGTAGAGACGGGGTTTCACTGTGTTTGCCAGGCTGGTCTTGAACTCCTGACCTCAAATGATCTGCCTGCCTTGGCCTTCCAAAGTGCTGGGATTACAGGCCTGAGCCAGCGTGCCTGGCCCAAGGCCTAATTTTCTTTTCCTTCTCTCCATCTTCTTTTGTGAGGTGTGAGGGTTGGTGGGTATCTTCCTCTGGTTTTCAGAGTCTGTTGTGCATGCCCTGCCTGTGTGGTGCCCTGGTTCTAATGGCCTCCAGCAGGGATGGGCAGGTCTGGTTAATGGAAAGTGATTTAATGACTAACTTTTGAAACATAGGGATCAGTGGTATTGGCTGCAGGCCAGAGTGGTCAGAGGTGGTGGGCAAGGCACAGCAGGGTCACGGGAAGCAGATTTCGAAGGCTTCTGCAGTGTTTTCATTTGTATCTATTTCCTGTTCACAGGCTTTAACAACTTCTTGTTAAGGTTTTATTAGCAGTGACATTCAGGTTTTCAGCTTTTGTTCTTAAACCTGGTAATGACCTGGGGCTCTGAGGGTTGGAGGAGGAAGTGACACCTGTGGCCTTGTGGCACACTTCATTCTCTGTGGCTGAAAGGGTAACCTGGCTGCCTTGTGTTTTTTTTTTT